TTCACCGTGGACGAAGCGGAGTCCAGCCCGGGGTCGTCACATGTGGTTGCCGCAAGCCCTCCGGACACTCCTTCGTCGAATCCGCCGGCTGCGGCGTTCTCAAGCCCATCAGCCTCTGCTCACTCTAGCCCCCGGCCTCTGCTCACTCTAGGCCGCGGTGTGTGACGCTGTGTTTCGTTGTGAAAGCGAAACTACTTTGTAAAAGAGCTACCTTCCAAAAGAGGACACGACTAGAAATCAGTGTTTAAGTTGTATTTACAACACTGTTCCAGAACAGTTCAACCCAAATATTCAGATGTGTCCAGCGCATTTTATGGAGGACTGTTTCCTGATCCTGATAGAGTAGACTACAATGCCGGCTGTTCTGACTCACAGACTGTAAGTAAGTTTTTTATATTTAAAGAATTTGCCACTAACGATTCAAACGCGAGTTTTTTGGGTAGTGTAGAGTTTGTCATTTCTCCGATCACAAATGCAGATATGGTTTTATGTTTATGCGGCGCGATGCAACGCAATGCGTAAAAAGACAGTATAAGTCATTATAATCCGTAATTATGTCCCTACTGGATGCAACGAATGCCTCGTTTATAATGGGTTTTAACGTTTTTGTCTCGTCGCTTCGGCCGGACAGGGCATCGCAGTATGGTAAGGGGCGTAACATTTCCGTCACACGCTTGAGGTATTCGGCCAATCACAACGCACTGGATAGCTGGCCAATCAGAGCACACCTCGCTTTTCAGACCAATGAGCTTTGTAAAAATTGACGCGTTTCAGAAAGGCGGGGCATAGAGGAGAAACAACAATGTACAGTATGTGGAAAATAATGTGTTTTTTGAACCTTAAACCGCATAACCATTTCATTACACCAAATAATGTTCTTTTTAGCAGCATCATATGACCCCTTTAATGGGTAAGAAACACTTTCTTTTTTCATAATAATGTAGCCTATTGAAAAAACTATTTTGTTGGATCCAGAGTTGTCACTCCGTTAATGTTAATAGTGACAGCAGAATTGCATATAAAGTCCATGTGCTCTGATATGCTCTTCAATCAGTCAGCAGCAGTAGTTGCTGGGAGTCCTCAGAAACGGCCCTGCTCAAGATGGAGTACCACGGAGCTCCAGCCGCAGGAGGAGAAGAGGGGGACGGTGTGGGAGGAGCAGCTGCCTTCAATCCAGGAGCTGCACCGCTGGTCAGACTAACCCTCTCTTTTAAGATCTAAAAGGATGCAACACTTTATTTGAAAAAGGGCAGTTACAATTTAATTGTCATACACATAATTGCAATATCACAGTGTGAGCTTTTATGTATTTAAGATTGTATTGATTTGATTGATTCTAAGACTTTGCAAACAAATACTGTTAGGTAGAATAACAAATAATAAAATTGTAATTCTTAAAATAATTATAAATGTATTAAGTGTTTCAAATTAAAATGTGTAATCATCTTAAAGGTGCGGTTCTCGCCCTCCTGTTATTTCACCATGTTGAAATTATGTAACCTGTAGTTTTTCACTTGTAGCGCAGTGTTGTTTGGTGATGCGAAGAGCATAAATTAGAAAAACAAACACATTATTTATTGTGCTTTATCAGTGGAGACAATGGAAGAATTGGTACTTCTGCAGCGGTAAAAAAGTTTTGAAGCCAAAGAAAAACAAAAACAAAAGATTAAACATTGGTACGGCATACACAAGTTGAAAAGATCTGATGCCAAAGTAGTTTTTTGTGCTGGACAGGTAAGTAATTATTGTGTAGAACGCAGGGGTTAAAGCAAAAAAAAATATTTTGACTGAAAATGTTTCCTCAGCCAAACCCCATTCCACAGCCATACCTGTCACACCCAGTTTAAGAGCAGTTTTTTCTTGTAATAACAAATAATAAAATTGTAATTCTTAAAATAATTATAAATGTATTAAGTGTTTCAAATTAAAATGTGTAATCATCTTAAAGGTGCGGTTCTCGCCCTCCTGTTATTTCACCATGTTGAAATTATGTAACCTGTAGTTTTTCACTTGTAGCGCAGTGTTGTTTGGTGATGCGAAGAGCATAAATTAGAAAAACAAACACATTATTTATTGTGCTTTATCAGTGGAGACAATGGAAGAATTGGTACTTCTGCAGCGGTAAAAAAGTTTTGAAGCCAAAGAAAAAGAAAAACAAAAGATTAAACATTGGTACGGCATACACAAGTTGAAAAGATCTGATGCCAAAGTAGTTTTTTGTGCTGGACAGGTAAGTAATTATTGTGTAGAACGCAGGGGTTAAAGCAAAAAAAAAATTTTTGACTGAAAATGTTTCCTCAGCCAAACCCCATTCCACAGCCATACCTGTCACACCCAGTTTAAGAGCAGTTTTTTTCTTGTAATTAGGAGCGCTTGTCCTCCTAGTTAAAAAAATTTAGGAGCACCTTCTGATCAATAATAAAAAAATCTGATAAAAAACTAGCCTTCCTAATATGAGGTGACATTTGACTCAAAGTGGTTTACAGGGGCATTTTCTTTTTACCTTTGTAATGGCATTTATCAATTTATTAAATGTATGCAGTGTTTCCTAGGATTTTTTCCAGCTGTGGTGGCAGGACTATTTCTCATGGACCATGCTCCCTCCCCACCCAAGAATCAGGTGCACTTAGAATTGAATTTATTTTAACTAAAAAAGACAAGTAAATAATAAAATAAGAACAAATAAATGAATGACAATCAATAGCACAAACAAAAACAATAAGATACAAATTAAATTAACAGTACTTTCATTTTTTTCAGTTAGGTCTAACTACAATCTATTCTACTGTAAAATAACACTGGTTAGTCTTCACTGTATAATGAAAGGCAGCAGGAGATTTATTTAGGC